CTAGTGACAGAGTGAGAGAGGGAGTGACTAGTGACAGAGTGAAGGAGGGGGTGACTGTCACTAGTCACCCCATCCCTCTCTCTGTCACTAGTCACTCCCTCCTAACTCTGTCACTGTGTCACCTGCTCCCTCACTCTGTCACTAGTCACCCCCTCCCTCACTCTGTCACTGTGTCACCTGCTCCCTCACTCTGTCACTAGTCACCCCCTCCCTCACTCTATCACTAATCACCCTCTCTGTCCTTAGTGACAGAGTGAGAGAGGGGGTGACTAGTGACAGAGTGAGGAAGGGGGTGACATAGTGAGGGAGGGGGTGACTAGTGACATAGTGAGGGACGGGGTGACACAGTGACAGAGTGAGGGAGGGAGTGACTAGTGACAGAGAGGGATGGGGTGTCTAGTGACAGAGTGAGGAAGGGGGTGACTAGGGAGAGAGGGGGTGATTAGTGACAGAGTGAGGGAGGGGGTGACTAGTGACAGAGGGAGGGGTAACACAGTGACCGAGTAAGGGGGTGACTAGTGACAGAGTGAGGGAGCGGGTGACACAGTGACAGAGTTAGGGAGGGAGTAACTAGTGACAGAGAGAGGGATGGGGTGACTAGTGACAGTCACCCCTCCCTCACTCTGTCACCAGTCATCCCCTCACTCTGTCACTAGTCACCCCTTCCCTCCCTCACTCTGCCACTAGTCACCCATTCCCTCACTCTGTCACTAGTCTCCCATTCCCTCCCTGTCACTAGTCCCCACTCCCTCACTCTGTCACCAGTCACCCCCACTCACTGTGTCTCCCCCTCACTCTGCCACCACTCAACCCCTCCCTCCCTCACTCTGCCACCAGGTACCCCCTCACTCTGCCACCTGTCACAACCTCCCACACTCTCCACCTGTCACCTTCTCCCTCACACACTCTGTCACCTGTCACATATGCATTCACACAGACACTATATACAAAAAAGCACATGTAGTCATCCAGACATGCACAAGTGCATTCACACAGACTCAAATACAAACATGCATTGATACACAGGTCTTCACAATACACACATCCAAAGGAATGCCGTATTATGAATTATATTTAACATTTATTAAAATGCACATATATTTGGCCTTCAAAGGGCCTGGGATCTAATTTTGCCCGGGGGCCCCAAAGGCTCTCAGTCCGCCCCTGTTGTCAGAACAAATCAAATGTGATATCAGGATTAGTAAGCTCACCCACAAGTAAGGAGCCATTGGTCATATATGTGTCGGATGGTAAGCGCTGGTGGACAATATAAAGGATGTCCAATTCCTTTTCTTCCCGGTCCTTTAGAATGTGACGGCAGGTAAGTACCATTTGGCCCATCTAGTCTGCCCAATTTTCTAAATACTTTCATTAGTCCCTAGTCTTATCTTATAGTTAGGATAGCCTTATGCCTATCCTACGCATGCTTACTGTGTTAACCTCTACCACTTCAGCTGAAAGGCTATTCCATGCATCCACTACCCTCTCAGTAAAGTTATACTTCCTGATATTATTTTTAAACCTTTGCCCCTCTAATCTCTGTGGTTCTATTGGTCTGACACAGAGGATACCAGAAGTGTTATCCAGAGGGTCCTTTATTGGTTAATATATAACAAATAAATAAAATTAAATAAATACCAGACAGTGTATTCACTGGTTGAATAAGTAGTCCAGATATGTCCATAACGCGTTTTGCCCCATAAAAAGGGCTTCCTCAGTTGGTTCTAAGTCTATTCCGAATCCTCCTTTTTAAATTCTGTTTTGAATAAAGACTGCCTTTTAAAAGATACCTCAGGTGCCTGGATATTTTTTTTTTTTTTTTTTTTTATGTCTTCATGGATTGGCCCTCCCTTTCTAGAGCACCCTGCGGGAAGTATTCCCCTCATATTTTAGTGTGTGTGTTTTACTCTTGTTTTTTTTTGCAAACAACTGTATCTGTATGTGCGTCAATCTGTATGTACATGAGTGTGTAGCTGTGTTTCTGTATGTATGCCATTGTTTGTATCTGTGTGTCAGTGTTTGCATCTTAGTCTATGTATTTGCATGTATGGAAGTGTATGTGTGTGTGTCTGTACATTTGTATATGTCCGTGTGTGTATCTTTATATGTCAGTGTGTATCTGTGTGTGTGTCTCTGTATGTATGTCAATTTGTATCTGCATGTGTGTTAGTGTGGGTGTATCTGTATGTGCGTCATTGTTTGTATCTGTATGTCTGTAATTGTACGTGTGTCAGTGTTTGCAACTGTGTAGTGTATCTGCATGTATGGAAGTGTGTGTCTGTAAATCTGTATGTGTAAATATGTGTATCTGTATGTCAGTGTGTGTCTTTGTGTCCGTGTGTGTGTCTTTATGTGTCAGTGTGTATCTGTATGTGCATCAGTGTGTATCTGTGTTTCTGTATGTATCTGTGTGTCTGTACATCTGTATGTGTGTCATTGTTTGCCTATGTGTCTGTGTATCTGCATGTATGGAAGTGTGTGTCTGTACATCTGTGTCACGGGTGGCGGTACGGAGACCTGGACCCCTAAGTGCCTGATGATGATTATGGGAGTCTCAGCATGGAAATGGACTAATAGGGCCTGGTGCAGGGTAACCACACACACCCTTGTGTTGAGCACCAGCGTTTGTGCGGCCCCATACCAGGGCCCTGATGCAGCTACTGTGGATCCCAAGAGCTAGGAGCTTGATGATCTGCAGACCTCCCAGGACCTGGATAGGGAGGCTCTGCAGCAGATATTTGCCCAGTACAGAAACAAGGCAAGACTAGAACAGGCACCTAACAAGAAAACAAGACAAGACTAGAAGAATCCAGAACTGGAGCAGGACAGAAAGCAGAACCCAGAACATGAACAGGGCAGGACAGGAGTGTACATGAACTGGGAATACAAGACAAAATAAAACAAGACAACAGATACAAGGCAAAACAAGAGGAGACATAACTAAGTACTGTATATGTAAAACATTGGAGATTCAGACATACATAAATGGGCCAAGATGTATGCAGCTAATTACTGCGCCAAAGTACTTCAATTACGGTGGGTCCTAACTGCCTAGATATGCATGACTAAATAAACGACAATAAAACACACACAGTACTTACCTGCAAAGAAAGGGGCAGATGACATGAAACAACTGCCTGCAGGAACCAACTGAAACAAAGGAACGGGTGTGGCAACAAAAAACAAACATTTAAAGGAATCCAGGAGACTGGGAATTCCAGGAACTGAATAAAGGAATTAACTCAGCATAAAGAAAACCAGACATAGAATAGAAAACCAGAAAAACCAAACAAGAATTGTAAAGAGTACTGGATACCAGAAGCCAAGGCCATACATCTCCGCAGAACAGAACAGGATGTGACAATCTGTATCAGTATGTGTGTCACTGTTTGTATCTGTATGTGTGTCAGTGTGTTTTAGTGTTTGTATTTGTGCATCTGTTTGTGTGTCAGTGTGTGTTTCAGTGTTTGTATCTGTGTATCTGCAAGTGTATCAATATGTGAATGAATGTATCTTTGCACCTGCATGTGTGTCAGTATTTGTTCCCATGGGTCTGTGTATCTACATGTGTCATTGTGTGTGTCTGTGTATTTGCATGTGTGTCAGTGTGTGTATCTGAATGTGCCAGTGTTTGTAACTGTGTCTGTATGTGTGAGTGTGTCATTGTTTGGATCTGTATGTCTGTACATCTGTATTTATATCATTGTGTGTATTAGTGTGTCCGTGCAACTGTGTGTGTGGTCAGTGTGTGTATCAGTGTGTCTGTGCAACTGTGTGTGTGGTCAGTGTGTGTATCAGTGTGTCTGTGCAACTGTATATGTGTTAATGTTTGAATATTTGTCTGAATCTACATGTGTTTGTGTCATTGTTTGGATCTTTGTGCCTGTACATCTGTATATGTGTCAGCATGTGTATCGGTGTCTGTGCAACTGTATGTGTGTCTGTGCATTTGCACGTCTTTCAGTGTTTGTATATGTGTGTCTGTACAACTGTATCTGTGAGTGTTTGCACCAGTGTGCCTGTGTATCTGCATGTGTTTGAAACACATGCAGATACACAGATCCAAACACATGCAGATACAGACACACTGGTGCAAACACTGACACACATACAGTTGTACAGACACATAGATACAAACAATGACAAACTCACACAGATATAGAGAAACATATATACACACTGACACTGTTCTTAAACATTCATATTTCTGTTCAGCGAAGTCTACCGAGTAGAACAGTACCCCCATGTACAGGTTTTATAGGGGTTTTGGAAAGTCACAGGGTCAGTTGTAGGGCTTGCCCATTTCAGATTGCCAGCTTGATTTGCTGGGCTTATGTTGCTTTTCAGACCATATAGCAGCCCAAAAATGAAAATTACCCCCATCATAGCATACTATTTGCAAAAGTAGACAATCGAGAGTATTTAAAATGGAGTTTGTCCAGTCTATTTTAGTAGCCACTTTGTCACAAACTCTATCCAAACTTAGTGTGTGCGTGTGTGTGTATGTATGTAAAAAAAAAAAAATTATTTAATTTTTCCACACAAAAACTGCACTTTCAAACTTTCACTTCCACCCCGATAACACCAAGCCACACAGGAGGGAGTGCGGAGTGGAAGAAGGGTAGGAAACAGGAGAAGGGTGGCTTAAAATGTGTACACTTTGCATGTGTGTCTGTGTGTGTATCAGTATTTGCATCAGTGTGCATATTTGTGCATCAATGTGTGTGTATTTGTGCATCTGTATGTGTCAGTGTTTGGATGAGTGTCATTGTGTGTCTGTGTATCTGGATGTGACTCAGTGTTTTTATCTTTGTGAGTGTGTGTATTTGGATGTGAGTCAGAGTGTATATGGCAGTGTATATGTACATACATATCAACATTCAAACTCCAAAACTACACACAAGTACATCGCAGTATTAAAACATCAACACTACATGCATACATACACCTATATTCAAAGGCAAACTATACACAAGTTAACCACTGCATTCTTTAGTTCCACCACTGGTTTTGTGATGGAATTTCGGTGAAATGTGAATTTAGTAGGCCGAGATTTCCACGTGGCATATGTGTATGTTGTATCAGTTAGTTAGTTACATGTAGCTAAGATCCTGTCATCAATGTACTGAGCATGTGCAGGAATGCAGGAACTGAAATCACACTCCTTTCCCCTTTGTTTTGGATGTGCCATGTGGTCTGCCCATATGAGGAAATCCAAATCCTGTCCACTGATTGGTTAAGGGTATGTGCGGGTGGAGCTATTAATGGGAGGAGTTATAGTTCTATAAAAAGCATGTACTCCATGTGTTCGGCCCTCAGACCTGTTTGGGAATGTTAGTTCATCTGAGGCCCAATCGGTATGTTAATAAAGACCTCTTACTTCCTGAAAACCTGCATCCATCTCTCTGTGTCTGGCTTCTGCAAGTTTACTCGGTTACAGTTAGGGAAGTTCCTTATTTTTAAAGTATTAATATTCTAAAGGAAACATTGGGTAGGATCTGATTTAATCAAAAGGATACATATATATATATATATATATACACACAGGCATTTCCCGGTTTACGTTTTCCCGCCTTTACAAAAGTTTTTCGGATGCGCGCGCCATTTTATTTCGGCGATCCGTGGAGCGTGTTTGGAGGCACTTGAAAAGGAATTTGAGGCCAGGAGAGTGAAAGGTAAGGTATTGTCATTCAACACTTGGCCCCATGTGTGCTTTTTTTTTTTTATCATTTCCACAGTTTAAAATCTGTATACAGTAATTAGCTTTGTCTTTATAGATTTCCTGGGAGGCATCTTTCGTTTCAATATATTTTCAGTAGCTCAAAAAGAAATGTCATTTGTTATAACCCTATAGTCTGTAAGCTCGTTTGAGCAGGGTCCTCTTCAACCTATTGTTCCTGTAAATATTCTTGTAATTGTCCTATTTATTGTTACATCCCCCTTGTCAAAATATTATAAAGCGCTACGGAATCTGTTGGCGCTATATAAATGGCAATAATAATAATAATAATAATAATAATAGCTCTGTCCCAGTTGTATTCTACTAAGGCTTATTATGTAGCATCCCTCTTTACCCTTTACAGCCAGATTTAAAAAATAAAATAAATTAAGTGTAATCTTTTTTGCAACATGGGATACAGAAGTAGCTTATGAAGCTGTTGAGATACCTAAAATAATGTAATCTGATTAAATAATTGATATTAAATGTACTTAATAATTCCCAGATTTTACTATTAACATGACGTAAAGTCATGATTTTATTAATGACACGGAGGCAAGTATTATGCTCTCTCTTTTTTACTTTATTCCTCAGCAGCAAAGAGAAATATAACTGAAAGAGAAAAATAAGTAGAATATAAGCAATGTATAACATATACAACCATATCTGCCTAGTAACAGGGCAGCCAATCTCTAGGAACAGTCCATAAATCTCTATCCTTGTACTTCCACTTCCTCTTCTTTGCCTTCTGAACCGAAGACCCAAACCGAAACATCCAATCAGCAACTAATAAACGTCAAACCGGTAGACATCAGCAGAACGAAATCAAGCTGTAAAAACAAAGAAACAGGTGGTAAACTCCAAACTTAGGAACTGAGTGTAACATATCGTATACACGTGACCTGCAGATAAAGTGCATCATAATCAAAATACTATGTACATATGTCACACTCTACAACACCATATACTTGATACAAGTAAATCATGTGTACTTACCGTGAGATAAGAAGATCCCCCCCCCGATTGAACCATAAGCGTAAACCAGACCCAGACCCACGGGAGGGTGGGTGGGAATAATACTCGCCTCCGTGTCATTAATAAAATCATGACTTTACGTCATGTTAATAGTAAAATCTGGGAATTTTATTAATGACACGGAGGCTGAGCCACAACCAACGAAGAAACATGTTCAATCGGGCGGAAGTAGAAATTGCGGAACGTAGATTCCTTAGACCAATCTGCCGCTTTCAAGATATCGTCCAGGCGACATCCTATCGAAGAAGCCTTCGATGCCATGGCACCCCTAACCGAGTGAGCCGAAAAAAACGAAGTATCGATCCCCGCAGCAGAAAGGAGATCTTTAACCCAGCGGGCAAGCGTAGGCGACAAGACCGGTAGAAACGGTGCTCTCAAGGAAATAAAGAGTGGAGGCAAGTCAGCTGACCTCAACAGCCGAGTACGATCCAAATAAACCTGGAGACAAGCCACAGGGCACAAAGCAGGTCTGATGGAGCATCTAGGATAGTCCACCGACTTGGAAGCCGACTTAGTCCTCCTTGAGATATTAAACGACACACCTCCGGGGGTGAACGAGACTGCGTTCCAGTCCAGAGCCCTGACGTCCGATACCCTCTTACACAAAAGTAGACACAGAAGCATAACCAGTTTCCATGATAACTGTTTGAGTGTCAAGTCCTCATTACAGGGCCAGGAGTCCAAGAATCCAAGGACAACGTTAACATCCCAAAACGATCTAAATCTTGGAGGTCTAGCAAAACGGATACCTTTCAACAAGCGGCACACAATAGGATGTTGTCCAATCGGAGATCCGTCGATCCCTTGATATCCGGCCGAAATGGCTGATCTATAAACATTAAGGGTACGATAAGCCAAACCAGAATCGAAACGTTCCGTCAGGAAACCAAACAGCGCATTCAGAGGGGCACAAAGTGGATCCAGCAAACTTCCCAAGCACCAGCCAGACCACACACGCCATGCGGTCTTGTAAGCCACTCTGGTACCTGGTGCCCAGGCATTCTCCAAGAGTCGAGCAGTCGTCTGCGAAACGTCCGTGACACACCAGGGTCTCCCGAGATTAACCAAGCCGTGAGTTGGAGTAAGTTCTGATCCACCAATTCGTGCAATTTCCCATCCGGATCCAGAATCACATCTGGCCTCATTTCGATTATCCAAGGGAAATCTATGGCCATCTCCAGAAGGTGGGGAAACCACGGTTGAGAGTGCCAGAGTGGAACTACCATTACTATCGTGCAATCCTGTCCGGTCGAGTACGCCAGTGTCCGGGATATCAGGTTGAACGGTGGGAACGCATAATGGCGTCCCAGCGGCCACGTCTGTAAAAACGCGTCCACCGCGGTGGCCGTCGGGTCCGGTCTCCAACTGAAGTACTGGGGTAGTTGGGTAATAATAAATAATAAATCTGGACGCGAACAAATCCAGGTGAAGTGGACCCCATAACCGGTCTATCCTTTGAAAGGTCGAGGATAGCAAGTGCCAATCTCCTGAATCTTTCAGGTAGTGTGAGTTCCAATCCGCCCACTCATTGTCCAGACCCGGAATGTGTTTGGCCGTAACCGATACAGCGTTGTGTAGGCAAAACTGCCAGAAATCCTTTGCCAAGTTCGCCAACTGCTTCGATTTTGTCCCCCCATGGTGGTTTATGTACCTGACCACGGACACATTGTCCATGCGTAGGAGAACGCAGCAATTTCCCTGTGTCGGAGATAGACTCCGAATGGCGAACGAACCTGCCAGAAGTTCCAGGCAATTTATGTGCAGAGCCGATTCGATCTCTGACCATCTTCCACCGGTGGAGACACCGCCACAGCGAGCGCCCCAGCCATGCAGGCTTGCATCCGACTCTATTATCATGTCCGGCGCGGAGCCGAAGATTGCCCGGCCGTTCCAGGCCTCCATGTGGTCCAACCACCACCTTAGTTCGTCTTTGGAGTCCCCGTCCAGGGTCAACACGCTCTCGTACGAGCCCCCTGAGCGAAGATGGGACCCCTTCAAACGTTGTAGGGCTCGATAATTTAGCGGGCCCGGAAATATCGCCTGAATCGATGAAGCCAACAGGCCGATCACTCTCACCAATTGCCGGACGGAGAGAGAGGTGGCTCGCAGCGCCCGTCGTATCTCCTTTTTCATCGATCGGAGTTTTGCCTCCGGGAGGAACAGAAACTGGGTGACTGAATTGACTTCGAAGCCCAGGAACTCTATCCTTTGTACCGGGGTCACAAAGGATTTTTCCCAGTTTACAAGGAAACCCAGTCCCTCCAGGAGATTCACCGTCCATCCTAGCTCGGGGGATGAAGACATAATCAGTATGTCGTCCAGGTAGATAATCATGCGGACCCCTCGAGCTCTGAGGAAGGCCACCACGGGCTTCATCACTTTCGTGAAAAACCACGGAGCTGAAGATAGACCGAATGGCAGACACGTAAACCGCCATCGACGACCTTGCCACGTAAAGTGCAATAAGTCCCAATGCTCTTCCGCCATGGGTATAGTCAAGTAGGCATCTTTGAGGTCTAATTTGACCATCCAGTCTCCCTGACGGAGCAGGTCCCGGAGACAATGAGCGCCCTCCATCTTGAAGTGATGGTAACGGAGGAAAAAATTGAGGTGTTTGAGGTTTATCACCGGACGTACGCCACCGCCTTTCTTGGTGACAAGAAACAAGTTGCTTAGAAATCCTGGGTGTCCATAGGGGATTTCCTGAATAGCTCGTTTGGCAGACAGTTCCGCGATCTCTGCGGTAATCAATGCGGACTGCTCTTCTGGCAGTGTCAGTTCCTGTGGGATAAACGTCTGGACAGGGGGAGACAATAAATCCAGGAGGAAACCCCTGACCGCATTGAGAACCCAAACATCTGTGGTGATCATACCCCACACATCGAGAAACAACGCCAATCTGCCCCCCACACTCGTTCTGCAAAACACACGTTTTGGGGTACTCACCGTAAGGGCGTCTGTATGAGGGTTGTCCACGACTTCCCCGACTCTGCCATGGTCTCCCTCGCGAGGGAAAAAAGGGCGTTGGCTTATAGTCTTGGTAGGTCCGGGGGGCGGAAAAGGAACCTCTGTGAGTCCGCGGGGGACCTCGAGCTCCACGGCCGGGCGGACGGCTCCTATACCTCCCGGCCCCATGGGAAACCTTAGGGCCGAAAACCCTCTTCAGGTTAGACTGCGCCTTATCGAGCGCGGTAAAGGTACGAACAAAGGAGCCTAAATCCTTAACAAAACATTCTCCAAAGAGCATACCTTTGGCCGAAGCACCAGGCTCCTTCACTGCCAGGTTAACTAACTTGGGCTCAATTTTGAGCAGAATCGCCTTGCGGCGTTCAGCCGACATGGCTGTGTTCACGTTGCCGAGAAGGCAAATCAACCTCTGGACCCACCCAATCGCCTCGTCAAAGTCAATAGGCTTCGTTCCAGCCTTAGCTGCTTCCAAAAGCTCATAAAGCTTGGCAGTGGGGCCCAGGGTATCCAAGATCTTGTCTTGGCAATTATGCAGTGAAAATTCCAGTCCTTTCCGGGGCTTCCAACCCGTCTTAGTCAGGAACTGAGAAATCTGAGGGTCAACCTCTGGCGTCTTGCACGCCGCATCAGGCACCGAAGGCCTTTGGCACTCGGCCCTCAATTTACTGCGCCCCTCCTTGGAAAGGGGGGTACGCATACGAAGCGCCAGATAATTGGCAATATGCGCGGGCGGGTCCCATTCCGCCGAGCGAGGTGGTGAAGGTCATCGGGATCGAACAGGGGGTAACCCTGAGGATCACAGATGTCCTGCCCCTCACCCGGAGGAAGCGCCGAAGCGTTGAACTCCGCCTCATCGCCGGAAACCCCTTCCTCATAGGAGGCGTGATCAGGGGGATCCGAGTCCGACTCTCCAGTTTGATCGGTATCCGATCCATCATCATCACGGGCACGTGCCCGTTTCCATTTTCTGGCCGATTTTTTTTTTGCCCGGCCAGCGGCTCTCTTGCGCGGAAACGCGCCATCTTGGACGGCCATAGGCATGTCAGTCAGGGCAGGTATCACCTGCGTCACATCTGGAGAGACATGTTTAAATTTTGCTTGTGCCTTGCGACCCTTCTGAGGTTGCAGCGCTGGCAGGGGAGCAGGCAACACGGCAGGGCCCAAAGGCTGCGACAGCGCCTGCTGAATAGTGTGAGAGAGGGATGAGGACACGGTCCCCATGGCCGAAGCCAGGGCCTTCTGCATGGTGGAATCAAAAAGGGCCTGGAACTCCTGGGAGGGAGTAGGGCCCATATCCCCTGTAATAGGGGTCTGAGAGGAGTCCATAATGGGGTAACTGGGACTACCAGAACCCTCACCCCTAGCCTGCATAGTGAACAAGGCCAAAATAGAACTGCAAGTACTGCCCCTTTAAATATCAAACACAGGAGCAGAGCAAAATGTCAAACCTAAACTGACCTAAAACAAATGACAGTAAATAGACCTAGACAGTAGAGGGGTTGAGTAACCCACTGGGAACAGAAATATACACAATACTTGCACAGCACATGGGAGAGGTAGAGGGAGCCGACCCAGCCGCATGGAACACGAGGGGAAGATGGCCGCTGTGCGCGGGACGCGCCGCGGCTGCCTCCAGGCTCCTCCCCCGCTAATGGCCGGGGAGCGCGACCACACACGCGGCCGGCACTCCCTCGCACCAGCGGGAGATTGGGTCGGCAGATAAGCGCGGCCGCGAGGGCAAAGGGAACTGGGGAGCACAGTGCTCCAGAATGAACCTCCCCTGCTAGCCGCGAACCCTGTCTGGAAAGGGAACGGCAACACAGACAGGGGAAGCGGTGGGCAAACGCAGGGGAGGCAGAATATAAAATCAAAGAGGTTTACAAATTACATAAAAACCGACATAAAGCATGCCAATAAAGACAAATAAATGCAAACAGCAAACAGAAGATAGATTACAGGCAATAACACATGTAAAATAACCTTATTAAAACCCATCAATCAAACAATGTAGGAGAGAAAAATTATACTTAGCTGGTCTGAGGACAGCAGCAAAGAAAGAGGAAGTGGAAGTACAAGGATAGAGATTTATGGACTATTCCTAGAGACTGATTGGCTGCCCTGTTACTAGGCAGATATGGTTGTATATGTTATACATTGCTTATATTCTACTTATTTTTCTCTTTCAGTTATATTTCTCTTTGCTGCTGAGGAATAAAGTAAGAAAGAGATAGCATAATAGGAGCCTCCGTGTCATTAATAAAATTTAGGTTTTTTATAGTAAAATTTGTTGGTAAGGAACGGAACCTATGCTTATTACATTGCAGTCTATGGAAAATTAGTTCTCACTTTATGAACTCTCACTTTATGAACGAGGCTTCGGAACCAATTAGTTTGTAAAGTCAGGAACTATCTGCATATATATATATATATATATAGATATATAGATATATAGATATATATGTGTGTGTGTTATATGAATAATATTTCTCCTATATGGATAATATTTTAAACAGTTTTGAGCAGTAAATATCAAAATGGATTTGAACACAAAATGGCTGGTTTGATTATATGAATTTATTCAATCAGCTATCATCTAAGAACAAACAAATCATTTCATCTATTCATAAACATACCCATGCATGTTATAGATCCTATCATATCCCTATACGTGCATTAGTGACCCTGGATT